GTGGCAGTTTGTTAACCTTTGCACCGCCCACACAAAACCATTCTCAGTCGTTCTTGCTAGTTGCAGGGTTAAGGGTTGGGGGCAAAGTTAAGGTTGCATTGGAAGGGTGGCGTTTACATTAACTTCTCATTTCCTGGTTTGCAGAGGTTTAAGTTTAGTCACTCTCTATATGGTGCAAGGCAGGAGGCAGCACTGGGCAACCTTAACTCTGCATTAATGTAGCTTATGAGCATTTAGTTTCCTGTTTTTAAAAAATGGATGTTTTTGCCACTATAGCTGTGTCTATAATTGAGCTTTTGCCAGCAGAGCTATGTTGGATGGTGTGTGTGTGTGTGTGCACTTTTTCACAGCATTAAACAACAGAGCTGGACTGGCAAAGCTTTTAAGAGCTACCTAAGACCTTCCTAACTAGTTCCTCGACAGACACCTGATGTGCCACCTTTAGGTGAACTAATATGCATGTACCTGGTCTGTGGGATCCCAGTAAAACATTAGGCTCCCTGTGCCCTCTGCCAGGTGTCATCAAGAGGTCCATGATGAGTCACATCCTCCTCCTTCTCCAATCGCTGCATTAGAGTGTCCTTAGAATGATCCGCCTCACCCCCATTCCAACTTTCTGTTTGGGTTCCACAAAGTTCTGTCCTTGGTCCCCTTCTTTTCTTCCTCTGCACCTTATTTCTGCACACACACATTCAACTACCATCTCTGTGCTCCTAACTCACAGTCTACCTCTCTGTTCCTGATCTGTCTCCTTCTGTCCCAACTGAAATCTCAGCCTCTCTCTCTCTCTCTCATCTCCTCATTGATGTCTAGCCATCAGCTAAAGAGCAATAGCTGAAGCAAAGCTCTTAATATTTTCCCCAAACCCTCCCCCACCTTCTTTCTCTACCACCGCAAACAGCACCATCGTCCTGCCTGTCACTCAGGCCCGTAACTGGCAATACCTTTGTCACGGAGCTCCCTCTGGGGCCTCCTATCCAGGCTGTGCCTACACCCTGCATTTTCTTTTTCCATAACTTCCCTAACATCTGGCCTTCCCTATCCATCCGTGCAGCTAGAGCTCTTTTCATCCTTTCCTGTGTCAGTTACCCAACATCCTTTTCTCTGACCTCACCTTATGTATCTCCATTCAGAAGGAAAAAGCTACCTCCTGGTCCTCAAACATGACCTAGGAGGGAAGTTTGAAAGAACTGGGCATGTTTAGTCTTGAGAAAAAGAGTGAGGGGGGACCTGAGAACACTCTTCAAATATGTCAAGGGTTGTTATAAGAGGACGGTGATTAACTGTTCATCATGTCCACTGAAGGTAGGAGGAGAAGTAATTGGCTTCATCTGCTGCAAGGGAGGTTGAGGGTGGGTAACACAAAAAACTGTCCAGCTATGTGGATAGAGAAGTACTGGAATAGATTACAAAGAGAGGTTGTGGAATCCTTGTCCCAAGAGGGTTTTAAGAACAGGTCAGACAAACTTATAGCATACTTATACCTGATCCTGCCACAGGGCTACGGGAATGGAGTAGATGACCTCTTGAGGTCCTTTCCAGCCCTATATTTGAAGATTTTACGATTCATTGCCTTAGCCCTTCGCTTTGATCACGTCTCCCGGTGGAGAATACAGACCATTTTTGTGGATCAGATGCGGGTACAAATTTTGTACCTAGAGCCCTGCAAATGTGCGGATATCCATGGACCATTTTTGCGGATTGCAGATTGGATGCGGATACAAATTTTGTATCCGTGCAGGGCTCTCCCTGTCTGTCTTCTGTCTATACCTACAACTTAAATCTATTTAATACACATTGATTACATTTGAAATAACATATGAGATGACCATAAGAATGATCAATGAATGATAAAAGGAACTGATTGGCTCCATGAACCATGGAGACTCTTCCTTTTCCATCCCCTCCTGCAAGAGCTGCAGTTTCTTCTCTGCATGCTCTTTGGATCTTCAAATCTGTCCCTCCTGAAGTCACATGGCCTGATTCTTATTTTTCACATTCTCCTTTGGCAGAAGAATTTGTCTGTGGTTCCTGAACTACACCATCTAATTTGCCAGCTTTCCTCACACACAGAGTTTTTTATATTCTCTCCCTTTACACCTGACTCACTAGAGTCCCTAATGCCGCAGTATGTGCTTTCCTGACATCTAATGCTGCTCAGATCCTGCATTCAGTGATAGCCCTGCCCTTCCTGTTCCTTACTCCACTGAACCCCACCAGCCCATGCTTACTGTTCCCAGCTTCCCCAGGACTCTCATTGTCTCTGGATCTCCCTGTCAGCAAGAAGCAGTGCCAGGGAGACTTGCCCTCTGTCTGGAGTCTTCACTTTCTGGGACATGCAGTTCCATTCTCTGTGTTTTAGGAGCCTCTTTGATAATGAGTGTCTGGCTGTGTGTGTTCCCAGCAAAGATGGGGATAGTTAAATCCCTCATAAGCAGAGTGTTCTGGACCTTTGAGCACCTGGGGAGCTGGCCCTACAATTTTATTGGTTTAAAATGGACTGGGGTTAAATGAATAGAATGTTTTTTGATGACAAATGGCCTATGAATTCACCTGATCTCCCTTGTTTTCTTTCCCTTGAGCAGGGTTTCCAGTTTCCAAACCCTATGTGATCTCCCAGCTGGAAGGAGGGGAAGAGCCATGGGTCCTGGATCTCCAGGGTTCAGAGGAAAGCGAGATCCTGAGAAGTCCCTGCACAGGTGAGGAAACATTAAACCAACCCAGAAACTGTAAGTGACTGAGAGAAACAGCTGGGATTCCCCACAAAGATTTTGTGAGCTCAGGATAGTCCCCAGCAGATCTCACTCCTGACTTCCTACAGATTATGATTGACAGCTTGGCTGGAGCTCCCTCCCTTCCTACTGAGTGTTTGGATGGGATGTGGACAGGGCCGGCTTTGGGAAAATGGCACCCTGGGCAAACTTGCATTTTGGTGCCCCTGTCCTCCATGGGCATGGCACCCCCCCATTCCCTCTGTCCCCCATGGGCTCCCCAGGCTCCCCACCCTCCCTTCCCCCCTCGCCCCTGCACTGTGCCCCCTTCTTTCCAAATTCCTGCTCCCTCTCCTGCCCCTCCCCTTCTGCCCCTCCCAACACCTGCCCCCTCCTGTGCCCCTAAGCTCTGCACTGTGCCCCCTTCACTCATACCCTCTGCACCTCCCACCTGCACCCTGAACCCCTGCATGGTGTATACCTCCTGAACCCCAACCCCTGCCCCCCGCACCTCAACTACTGCCCCTTTCTGAGCCCCTAACCCTTGCATCCTCCTGCACCCAAGTGGAAAACCTGACCTGGATGCACAAAACAGCTGGCATTGCTGCTCGCTCCCCCACTGGACTGCTGCTTCTCCGCCCAGCACAGCCCTGGGGGGCTGGGAGAGGGGAGCAAGGAGCGACGTCAGGGCTTCCTGCACCCAGATCACTTTCCCTGTGGGCTACATAAGGGGAGGGCAGGAGAGCAGCAGCTCCTGATGCCTCAGCACAGCCCAGGTGGGGAAGTACGTGGATGCAGGGAGCCCTGGTGTGTGTGTTGGGGGGACTGTGTGAAGGAGTGTGTGTGTGTGTGTGTGTGTGTGTGTTGGGGGGACTGTGTGAAGGAGTTTGTGTGTGTGCCTGAGTGAGTGAATGCGCTGTCTCTTTAAGAAAGCACTCAGGCTCAGGTGTCTGAACAAGCCTAGTTCATGCTCAAGTAGCTGCCAGCAGCTCCGGCCACACAGAGGCAGCAGCACACACAGATTCCCCCGTCCCATCACCCCAGTGTAGTGGAAATCGGGTACACGGGTGTGGGGGAGGGGGACACCCCACCATCAATCAGCACCTCCCCCCGCAGAGCAGTCAGGAGGATGCTCCCAGTCGGGAGTGGCCAGGGGCGACTCCAGGGATGAATGGAGGGTGGTGGGGACAGGAACAGCAGCAGCTGCACACGTGGAGCAGGGCAGAGGAGGGGCCCCTCTGCTCCGGAGCAGTCACCTGGCTCCGACATCTGGTCGTCCAACAGCCCCCTGCAGCTCGGGTCTCTTCCCCACCCCCACGCTGCTGCTCGCCTGCCTCCCATGCCGCCTTCATCAGCCCAGCGAGCCTCTTGGCAGCAGGTCAGGTGGGAATCCAAACCCTGTGACTGGCACCCCCTTGGGTGGGGCACCCGTACGGTCCACCCTAAAGGCCGTTCCTGGATGTGGAGCAGAATTGATCCCCTCCGCTCTCCCCTACGGGGAAGAGTTTGGGGGAATTCAGTCCCTGATGTTTATTTTATGTCTCCCCAGCACTTACTTGGGTTCGCTCTCTGCCTTTACATCCCTAATTCTGAGATTTCTCTTCTATTCTAGTAAGTGATGGGGTGGTGAGGGAGAACGAGGAGCAGAATCCTCACCAGGAAGATGCTCAGCTAGCCGAAGCGCATGGGGCATTACTGCGAAGATCCAAAGGGGATGTGTCCAGGCACCATGAGCCGGGAAAAGCTGGTGAAAGTTACCACAGACCAGAGAGAGAGCAGGGAAACCATTCAGAGGAGAGAGTGGATGAACCCATGAATTGTCAGGAAACTCAAAAGGACCTCAAGGAAAGTACATCCCAGGAGAAAATCCTCAGGGAAAAGAGAGAGAATACATGCAGTGAGTGTGGAAAAAACTTCAATTACCGCTCAGCCCTTATTCGACATGAGATAATCCATACGAAAGAGAGACCGTATGAATGCTGTGAGTGTGACAAAAGCTTCAATCATACCTCAGCCCTTATTAGACATCAGCGAATACACAGAGGAGAGAAACCCTATGAATGCTGTGAGTGCGGGAAAAGCTTCACTCAGAGCTCAGACCTTTCTACCCATCAGAGAATCCATACGGGGGAGAGACCCTATGAATGCGGTGAGTGCAGGAAAAGCTTCAATTACCGCTCAGCCCTTCTCTCTCATCAGAGAATCCACACAGGAGAGCGACCCTACGAATGCTGCGAGTGCGGGAAAAGCTTCACTCAGAGATCAGCCCTTATCTCTCATCAGAGAATCCACACGGGAGAGCGACCCTATGAATGCTGCGAGTGTGGTAAAAGCTTCACTCGAAGCTCAAACCTTACTACGCATCAGAGGATCCACACAGGAGAGAGACCCTATGAATGCAGTGAGTGCGGGAAAAGTTTCACTGACATCTCCTCCCTTATCTCTCATCAGAGAGTCCACACGGGAGAGAAACCCTTTGAATGCTCTGAGTGTGGGAAAAGCTTCTCTCAGAGCTCAACCCTTATTACACATCACAGAATCCACACAGGACAGAGACCCTATGAATGCTGTGAGTGTGGGAAAAGCTTCACTCAGAGCTCAGGCCTTATCTATCATCAGAGAATCCATAGAGGAGTTAAACTTCATAAAAACCTTCTCTAGAACTGTCAGAAGATTTTTTTTCTTTTATTCTTTTGACAGTTCCCAGGTAGTGACTGTTACGGCTGTTTTGCATCTTTTGCACACTGTAGTCCCTCAGCTCCCACACAGGAGTTGCCCACTTTTGAAGCCTGCCCTTCTTTGGGGTGGATCCTATGGTCCTTTCTATCAACTCCATTGTCCTGCGAGTCATGGGAGTGTGTGTCCTTTCTACCAGGAATGTCCATCACCCCTGATGGGGGAAATAAGGGGTGTCTTCAACCAGCTACATTGAGGTAAAATCTACCTGGGCCTCATCACTGTGGTTTCCATGGAGTTAGCTAGCTTGAGTTTGCTTTCCTGATGTAAAAAGACAGCTATTCTTGCAGTAAAGACATGGGCCATGGAGAGTGGGTGGGGTTATCTAGCACATTTCCTCCTGATCTGAGCTAACCACCACCACATTTCCTCGTCTAAACAGACCTGGAGATTCACATTTATACTCTTCCTCCAGTGCAAAGTTATTGTTCAAGTCGTCAAGTTCCTCTCTGAGGACAAATTGTCTCATTCCCAGTTCTCACATTACCCTGGATTGTGCGGAACAGCAGTTATTTTGTTGATTATTTTTCTCATTTAAAATATATTTAAATGTAATGAAGAGCTGGAGCAATGTCAGGGAACTAAGTGTCATTTCAGGCTCTGTGACACTGCAAGGAGGTGGGGTGACTCAGAGATTCCCTCCTTCCCCATCATACCAGAACTGTTACCTTGTGTCTGAGCCATGCAGAGTTCACCCCCTTCATATTCCTTCACTTCCCAAAGTGTCCGGTGAGGTCGTGTTCTTGGCTGTCCTTGCTTGGGAATGGTGCATGGATGTCTTTGCAGATACTTTAAGGCTCCTGTCCGTATGTTCTGGGGACAATTGCTCACCTTCAGTGGAACGTTCCTGAAATTGGCCTCCATCACCCTGTGGTACATTGATCTCCATGCGGACAGGGCCAAAGGGAGGGCTTGCTGCTGTGGCCACTTCGGCTGTGAGGGAGGCCACTGCTCTGGCTTAAACCATCCTGTGAGCACCTTCCACCTAGCCACCCTATGAAAAGCCCTGGCTGGGATGATTTAGTTGGTGTTGGTCCTGCTTTGAGCAGGGGGTTGGACTAGATGACCTCCTGAGGTCCCTTCCAACCCTGATATTCTATGGATGAACACTAGAGAGGGAGCAGGGGGCCTGCCTAATCTCCTACCCCTTCCGCCACCATTGGCCAACCTAAACCCATTGCTGTACCCAATGGGCTCAAAAAAAATAAAAATACGGCCAGATCTGAAGAGTTGGTTGCATTCTCTGTGGTTTCCTTGCCATTCCCCTCTGGCCTGCCCTGCCCTCCAGCTCAGCCACCCAGTGAAAATTGAAAAACAAGAAAGTGGAGCTGTTAAAATGCTTCAAAGCCCACCATGCCCAACCCACCCTCTGTCACTGGCATGCAGGACCGGCTCCAGGGTTTTTGCCACCCCAAGCAACGGAAAAAAAAAAAAGACGCGATCGCAATTGCGATCGGAAGGACTCCGGCAGCAGCTCCACCGTGCCACTTTCTTCTTCGGCGGGAGGGACCCACCGCCAAATTGCCGCCGAACAGCGCGACGTGCCGCCCCTTCCCCTTGGCCGCCCCAAGCACCTGCTTGCTGGGCTGGTGCCTGGAGCCAGCCCTGCCGGCAGGAAAGCCACACTTCTCCTGACTAGGGATGTCCTATTGCCACACAAGAAGTGGAAGGCCATCGTGTTCAGCTCGTGGAGCTGGGGGAAATACATGGCTGAGGAAATTTCCTGTGGCCAAAAGATAGGTCTTCAGCATGACAATCTTCTGGGCTAATGAAAAGGTCCAGTTATGCCACCAGCCAAGCCTTTCCTCACAGGCCAGCAGCTGCCTCTCCGAGTTCACGTTCCCGACCCCAAACAGTGCCCTCAAGATGTTCACCACCCCGGGGGTGCTCCTGTCTTGGCTACTTACGAATTGCAAACCCCTGATGGGTAAGGGAAAACCCCCACCAGGGTCCGATCCCACTCACAGGGTCCTGCTCTTTTCTAGGTTCACCATGGCTCCGGCTGCAGCCGAGTACCCCTCCAATAGTGTCACCAAAGTGCGGCAGTTGCCCAGGGAGCTCACTGTCACAGTCATGTCATATGCATGGGCAACCGCCTTCAATGCGACAGCTCCCCCGCTCAGTCCTCCCAGACTCTGGTCAGGGCAAACCATGCCCCACATTGCCCTGCTTCTGTGGAGTGCTCTGAGAAAAGGGTCCAAAGAGAGCATGTACTGAAGGGGCTCAAGGGACAGCCCTGTTATATGCCTGCGTGCACAGGGATTTTGTTCCCTAGCCAGCCGTTCCCCAACGGGCAGACTGAGGCCTGTTTGTACAGCACCTGCATCCATCTGATAAAGTTCCTCCGGAACGCCACAGTGTTTAAGCACTCACCAGAAATAGTTCAGGTTGACTCAGTCAAAGGCCTTGGATTGAGCCAGAGCCAACAAGTGACCTTCCCACTACTCCCGGCGTGCACATTCACAGACCTCCCTCATGCTGCATAAGGAATCTGTGACTGTCCGACCTCACACCGCATTGAACGGGCTACAATGCACCAGTCAGTCTGCTACCCCTCCCAGCCTCCTCTCGAGTGCTCGGGCCAAGATCTTGTCGTCGGTATTAAACAGAGCCTCCATTTTTGAATGTCAGTCAGGTCTCCCATCTTGGCCTGCAATACCAGGATAGCATCGTATCGTGATGGACCCAGTGCCTAGTGGTGCAGGGAGCTGTTGAAGACATTCATCAACACTGGTGTCAGAGGCTCCAGCACTTCCCAGTAGAGTTCTGGGCTCCAGCAAACTCCCCCGGTTGTCTCCTGACAGCAGCTGTGAGCAGTCCCTGGCTCAGGAGAGAAAGTTCTCCTGCACCTGCTGGGCAATGTCCCGGCCCTGGAACAGCTCCCCATAATAGGCCTCCGTGATGGCCAGCCTTCGACTGTGGTCCTGCACTACTGGATCTGCGGGTCCTGCCCTGAGTTCCCGCATCCTCCTGCTTTGTCTCTGTTCTCTGCAGGCTGCAAAAATGTCCGGAGAGACCACCCCTCCGTTCACTCGGTGGTCATGCTCAAATCGGGCCCACTGCAGCCTCATCTCCCAGAACCTGGCCAGATGTTGCTTGATATGGTTGTACAGTCACACGTTGACTGCCTTCCCTCTCTGGATGGTCTTATAGAAATCCCACAGGCGATGCTGCAGGACTTGGCACCACTGGTATTCTTTAATGTTGCAGTGTTTGCCTGGCTGCCGGAACAAAGCCACCAACTCCTCCTTCACCGACGCCCACCAATCCCCCTGGTTGACATAGAACTCTCTGATGCTTTCCTGTTCTGCCAACACCAACAGGCTTGGCCCCCTGCCCCTTTATCTTGCAAGCTCTGAATGTTCAGCTTCCAATATCCTCTGCCATGGGCCAGGGAATTGCCCACATTGAGACACATGGTGAGTGCTGTGTGATTGGAACAGTCCATTGGCACTACCCTGCACTGGGCTGTCGACGTGCTCTTTCACAAAAAAAGTCCACTCAATGCGACTCCTGGCTTATCCCTGCGGAAAGGTGTACCCTATCTGCAGCTGGTGTGAGCTTGGATCAGAGGAATAGGAGGCTATCGCCCACCTTCTGCTGGTTCCACTACAGAGAAACATGTCCTCTAATCTGACCTCGCTACAGACCTGCGCCAAGTAGTGCTCATCGTAAAAGAGTTTCCTCTGATAGTCAGGAAAACAGGACCCGCGGTCCTCAGGCTGGCTGATACTATTAAAATTCCCCCTCCCCCCTAACCCCATGAGGTCCAGAGGAAGGGAGCCAGTTCCTTCCATAGATCTTTCCTTTCACACCTTAACTGGGGACCATACACACTAATATAGCAATAACACGTGTACAAAGTCCACCAGTAATGCTCTCCCTGGAAAGAGCTGAAAGAGTGGCCGCTCTCACAGCAGTGTCAGCCACAGCAGCGAGGCCCCCCTTCGGCTCAGTCCATATGGAGGACAAAGTACCACAGGGTGAGACAGGCCAATTTCAGGGAGGTTCCTCTGAAGGTGAGCAACTGTCCCCAGATCTTACTGACAAGAGCCTTAAATTATTTGCTAATGGCACAGGTTCCCCTTAAGTACGGAGATGTGGGGGTTGGGCACGGTGGGCTTTGAAGCCCTTTACGGCTCTACTATTGTGTTTTTCAATTTTCAGCAGGTGGCTGAACTGGAGGGCAGGGCAGGCCTGAGGGGAATGGTGAGGCAACCACAAAGAATGCAACCAACTCTTCAGATCACTGGACACACCACGCCTAATCAATGCCATAGCATTGTATCCCCTTTGGCAGAGCTGCTGTGAGGAGCATCTTCAGCAATGAAGGCAGGTCCCTGTAGCAGTGGCCTAACCAGGTTTCCGTGGCCGTCAAATGGCTGGCCATGGCGGAAAAACACTGAGTCAGCAGCAGAGTGGAGGCGGGTGTGAAAGGGGCTCTGGGACCTGGATGGGCCTTGATTTCATCCTGCTGGTCTCTGACTGAGGGCAGGGAAAGGGTTTTACTGCGGCAAGTGGGAGCGGTTGTGTTTTCTATTCAGGCATTGGTATCAGTTGCTCCAGCTTTCTCATAAGCATACAGGGACATTAGCAGGTGCTCTCCATGCAGGATTGGCCCAGATACCATAATGTGATGGGGATTGCATTTTCCTTTTTTTATATATATATATCTCTCCAATGGCATTTCTGTCTGTGATTTCATTTTGCTTTGTATAACCGTGTTTTCTCCTGGATCTGATCGATATTTAACTAAAAAAAGAAGAAAGTCTCAGGGCACCAGATGGAGGAGCAGGCTGGGGTTAGGGCTGCTAAGAGAGCTAGAGTAGCAAGTTTTCCGTATTGTTTCCTGCCCTCTTTTTCTTAACTAGTTTCTCTTCTGCACCAAACTTGCTTCTTTCTTATATGAGCCTGGCTAGCTCAGTCGGTAGAGCATCAGACTTTTAATCTGAGAGTCCAGGGTTCAAGTCCCTGGTCAGGTAGAGAAGGATCCTAAGGCTGTCAAGAGGCAACTCTTCAGTACCTTCCTTGACATTACTTTTTCTTTTAAGGACTTGGGCTTTCCTAGGAAAGGCCATTTAGTGCCTGGGACTGAAGGGGCAACTTCCTCACACACCCACTGGCCTCACAGTCTGGAGGAAGAAAGGCCTCTGGGCCTACAGCAAACCACTGC